TCGAGGATGCCGCGCCACGACGACGCGAGTATGTACCGAACGTGTACACGCGTTATGGTCGCGAGCAGACGGAGAGGGTATCGTGCGAACTAGAACGAAACGCGGAGGAAGAACGTCGCAACTGCGAAAATTCGAATTTCGATGAAAGCTGCGCTCGTCGACGACGTTTCGATCACTCGGTTCTCCGAACGAGGCGAAAGGCTTCGGAATTATTCCAGGAAACGGCGTGTCAGCTACACATAAAATTTCAAATTTTGCTCGGGCTGTTCCGTTTCCGCCGACGTCCCGAGGGGTGCTCGTGCGTTTTGCTCGCGAGGCTAGATTAAAGGTACACGCAGCCAAGATTGGCGACGAAGTTATTGACAAGGCTCTTTGAGAAAATACGCGACGACGAGTGGATAACGGATTTCTAGTTGAAAAGAGTCTACGTAGCCCGACGCGCACACGTATCCGAGATATGCATGCGCGTTAGCCGAACCAACGCGTATTGTGTCTCGTGGAGGAGGCTAGAAATCGTCGAGAAGGAAGCAGTGTGCATCGACTTGATAGCAGGGATATGCATATCTAGAGCGTCGCAACGGTCTTTGCCGTGAATCGATGATAAAACTCGAACGAGATAGCATCGACTATGAAATTGTATTTGCTGTTTGGATGTTGCGTGTCTGGCTCTGAAATAGAGGCGGAATAAGGAGGATGTACAAAGGCGCAGGAGAGTGCAAGAACTTGTAGCCGAGGAACAGAGGTGACGGAGGATGGATGAAACGTCGGTTCCTCCACGGAAGCGAGCAATGCGTGATCGCGAAATAGATGACGCATAGGTGACAGCTGAAAAAAGTATGATATATTAGCGACCATTAGACGAGAAGCACGTTCGCGAAGTGTGAGCTCGGATCGCGTTAATGACGCATGACGGCGGAGTCTTTTGACCCAGGCGCTGAAACTTTGATGTCGAGTTACGACCGAAAAGGAATTTAAACAAAATTTCCAAGAAACCTTGGTTAATCGATCGGGGAATCTCATACGGTACGAGTAATTTGCCCAGGAATTCGATTCGAATACCGTGGGTGGGCTGGGTGCTTTGGAATTTTAGAATTTTTCGACTTTAGAAATTTGGAACTTTGCAATCGGAGAAGTTTGAAACGTAGGGAATTTCGTGCTTCGAAATTTCGGAAATTTGAAAAGTTGACCACGGCTACTAGACACAAGTGCTTTCGATATTTCGGTACACCCAATTCGCGGTAAACAGTGTGGAATAAAAGGAGACTCGATCATCTCGATCACGGACGCGAATCGACCTCGAGCGCAACGAGACGCGTCTAATTAATTAGAAAAAGTTGAGAATTCTGGGAAGGTAGCTGGCGATGGAAATCAGGCGACAAATCGGGCAAGTTAATTGCAGTTGCAGTCGCTTTGTAGCCGTCCGTGGCGAGTTACGCGCCAAACCGAACGGTAAGAGTATGCGAGCGGACGCCATTACCATTCGGTAATCGTAGCTCGTGCGCCGAGGTATAACGAGTCATCGGACTTCGAGGCCTGCCAATGACGGAGAGAATGAATTATGCAGTCCATCCGACGGATTATGGCGACTGGAGGATGTACAGTGACGCTCGACAGCCAACGACTTATTGGCCAGGATTTATGTCGGTTCTGGCATGCATGTGCAACGAAGACTCGCGGTGCGTGTAATTGCTGCCTTGTTAATCACGTTTTTTTCTTGTTTGCGCTTGGAAAGACCAGGTTTCAGATAGCGTAATTAAATTTCGAACGTGTTCCAACTATACTAATGACGGTGTAATGATAGCTGAGATAGAAATGTGGGTTAATCTTCTTATGCACAAGTGCACGATACGAATACTTCACAGTCGTAACGAATACTTTTCTACCGATACAGATGTCCTAATTTTTTGTAATTTCCCAAGTATGTCGAACAAGATGAAAATATTCGTTCCCGAACGCGAGTGTAATATCGGACTGTCGCATAAGCGGTGCGAGCTCAAAGGGTAGAACATGTTCGGAAGTTATGTTATTCTTTTAGAGAATAAGTGACGATACATACGAAACGGCCCGAATTGTACAATACGAGAGTACCAGTTCTATATACGGAATGACCTATATTATTCGTTAAAGAAGACGCTTGCAAGCTGTGGAAGACCACCGTTTTCCTTTTCTTTTCGGGTGTAAAACCAGATCTTTAGGGAGAACCGTTTATTGCTCAGTCGATGCTCCGAACGACGAATAAACATTCTCCAAAATAATTCCCTTAGCATTTTACGAAGATCCACGAATTCATACTCATTAATAACCAAGAACTAATTCCGAGCATACCTCGAACGTTCCACACAGTATTTATCTTCGCACCTGCACAAAAACGTTCCGAACCACCGTGACTATTATTCACCGACATCGTTTTTCGCTAATCCATCCTGCAACGAGCCATCATTAATCGGCTGGTCCGGTACCTAGAAAATTTTCTTCTCTCCCACATATTTCACGAGACTCGGATTCTCTCTGCTCAAGATAAATGCTTTAAAAATCCCGGCTGGCTTCGCCATATGAGGAAACGTCGGATCGTGGCTGTGCGACTGCGAGATACGAAGTCCAAGGAAGAGCTCGTCTTCGCGAGTAATTCCAAGGGATGATGGAAGGGAACCTCCTCGACATCCAGCGGCCTTTTTTTCTCCGAACGTTGACGGTATTTGGTTGTGACCTGAACAAGTATCGTCACCGTACACGCTATCGTTCCCATTGTCTTGAAAGACGAGGGGTGCGCGGCCGCTATCTTGCGGCGGCGTTAACACGCGTAAGGGTGGCATCGTGGCGCCATCTTGTCCCGTAAACACTCGCGCGTAAATTCGGGCTGAGTGCACGTCTCTCGGTGCACCAGGACAGGAGGTATACCAACGGGTCGAGTGGCCTGTTCTCGCAGGGATTCTCAGCTCCGCTCGAGTTAAGATTATCCTGCTCGTCTCTGTCCCTCTTTTTATGCTGGAGGTGTCTCGAGGGGATGCGCGCGATTAGCTGCCGCTAACACTAACGGGAAGATCCTATCTGTCTCCGCGCGACGATGCTTACGGGAACCGAGAACGACGCCCGTGGAAACGGAACGTCTAATTTTGCTAAGTAGAAACCGCGTCTCGTTGAGATTATTCGACCGTCTTAGCCAGCGTTCTCGGCGGAGAGAAAAAAAAGAAAGAAAACGACGAGACCTTTGTGCGACTCGTTACCATCGCGAGTATACGTAATCTGGTCGCGATACTGACTCGGTATAAAGAGCGTAGGGGGTCGAGAACAATGATAAAGCGCGGTCGTTGATTCGCCGTAAAGTAAGATAAAGTTTCAGCGTCGGAAATGCGAAAACGCGGACACACGAAACGTTCTCGAGTCGAGACGAGGCTTGTTCGTGGTTCGTATTCTCGCGAGAAGTTGCGAGAGTGTATTCTTACGCAGCTGTGCAAGGACGAGGAGTTACGTTCATACTCCCCGCGGTACTTATATCCGAAGCACGTTATCACGAGTTCCCCTTCACGAGGGTTGCCATCCTCGTACCTTCCGCTTCTTTATGTTACGGCCAATTCTGTATTCTCCAGACGTTGTCTCTTTCCTCTTTCTCTCTCTCTTCTTCTCGCCTCGTCCTCGCATCGCGTCCCCGCGCCCTCTTCCTCTGTCCATCTCGTTCGCTTCCACGGTTCCGTCAAGCGCCACCGCGCTCTTCTTTCCTTCGAAACCGGAAGCGAGGACCCGCGGGCAAAATATCTCACCGGCCAAGATATTTTACGGTTTCGTGAGCGCCGCTAGACTGTGCGCGTTTTCGTAGGGCGTATTCACCCCCTGAATTTCGAACCCTCCTGTCTAGTTTCGCGTCCCGCGCGCCAGATAAGAAAAAAATGGTGGCATCGTGGCGCCATCTTGTCCCGTAAACACTCGCGCGTAAATTCGGGCTGAGTGCACGTCTCTCGGTGCACCAGGACAGGAGGTATACCAACGGGTCGAGTGGCCTGTTCTCGCAGGGATTCTCAGCTCCGCTCGAGTTAAGATTATCCTGCTCGTCTCTGTCCCTCTTTTTATGCTGGAGGTGTCTCGAGGGGATGCGCGCGATTAGCTGCCGCTAACACTAACGGGAAGATCCTATCTGTCTCCGCGCGACGATGCTTACGGGAACCGAGAACGACGCCCGTGGAAACGGAACGTCTAATTTTGCTAAGTAGAAACCGCGTCTCGTTGAGATTATTCGACCGTCTTAGCCAGCGTTCTCGGCGGAGAGAAAAAAAAGAAAGAAAACGACGAGACCTTTGTGCGACTCGTTACCATCGCGAGTATACGTAATCTGGTCGCGATACTGACTCGGTATAAAGAGCGTAGGGGGTCGAGAACAATGATAAAGCGCGGTCGTTGATTCGCCGTAAAGTAAGATAAAGTTTCAGCGTCGGAAATGCGAAAACGCGGACACACGAAACGTTCTCGAGTCGAGACGAGGCTTGTTCGTGGTTCGTATTCTCGCGAGAAGTTGCGAGAGTGTATTCTTACGCAGCTGTGCAAGGACGAGGAGTTACGTTCATACTCCCCGCGGTACTTATATCCGAAGCACGTTATCACGAGTTCCCCTTCACGAGGGTTGCCATCCTCGTACCTTCCGCTTCTTTATGTTACGGCCAATTCTGTATTCTCCAGACGTTGTCTCTTTCCTCTTTCTCTCTCTCTTCTTCTCGCCTCGTCCTCGCATCGCGTCCCCGCGCCCTCTTCCTCTGTCCATCTCGTTCGCTTCCACGGTTCCGTCAAGCGCCACCGCGCTCTTCTTTCCTTCGAAACCGGAAGCGAGGACCCGCGGGCAAAATATCTCACCGGCCAAGATATTTTACGGTTTCGTGAGCGCCGCTAGACTGTGCGCGTTTTCGTAGGGCGTATTCACCCCCTGAATTTCGAACCCTCCTGTCTAGTTTCGCGTCCCGCGCGCCAGATAAGAAAAAAATGTACACGCGAATCTCGTTTTACCGCTTGCCCTAACCGTTCCGACGAACCTAAACCCCCCAAGGCCGCTGCCCTCGACCGTGGCGAATCGCTTCTACGGTGTCCGTGATTTTGGCCCGCGATAATGGCACGAACATAATTTACGCGACACCGGATCGCGATAAGTATACCTTGGCAAAATTCGGTCTCTCGGGCGGACCTCGTGGAAACGTGCTTCTCCGCTTTTCGCCTTCGATGCATCGACGCGATCATTTAGACGTCCTCTGGAATGGGTCGGTTAACGATTCCACTTGTTATTCGGCGATTTGCAACCGCGTCGATTCGTCGAAAACGTGTAGACGTCGAAGAAGGTGGCGCGAAATCGCCCGAAAGCGGAGCCGTTTAGTTGCTAGTCAATTATTAAGGAACGCGGGAACAAAGTGAAAATAGTTGGAGCACTTTGTCGGAATTAGGAGCGGCCCATGCACCAGTCCGCTTGGTTCTAAGACGCAACGACCCGAATTGAAACAATTAAGAACGAGTTGGGTCGGTAGTCGCGGCTCGGGAATAAAAGTCGCGCAGACATCGCACGTTTCGCGATAAAGCAACGAAACTATGCGTCCGAGTGGGAGTAGATCGAGCATGTAACAACCGGTGTAATTATGTTTTCGGTGTAACGATTGCGGCTAATGCGACCCGAGGTTAAACGGTTGCAGTGTCTGGGCTGACTCATCCTCTCCGTTTCACCCTATCAACGTTCAGGCTGCTTCTTACCTCCGCTGGAACGAACAGAAGGGTAATTACGTAATGTTACCAAAGGAGACATCAGGACTGGCCGTTTAAGTGTGTCGATGGCCGGCACGCAGCATGGGACGCCTCGCGGCGAGAGTAAATCGGACAACGACGAATTAGGGACGACGAGGCTTAATTAATGACTTCTGTGCTCCGTGCTGCTGCCGAGTTACGTGCCTACCAGACGAGATCGTTAAATTTGTAAGCTCTGCATAGCGATATTTAAATTTGACCTGGGATAAAGAGTCAGACGGCTTCAAATATTAATCGTCAAACGTCACAGCACAATTCCGTTTCGAAAGCTTGCTCATTTTCGATGTACGTTCGATAGTTTACGAGAAATTATGAAAGATCTTATCGAACGAGAAGCGAGATCAAAGTTTTCCTTCGCCAACGACAACGAACGCGCACGACGAGGTCGTTTGCTCGATTTCCCTTTGTTGCGCGGCCAATTTCGCGCCGTCTTACGCGCGAAAGCCGGGATCCCGGTTAACGGGGTCATTTCAGACACCGATGCGTATTCTCGGCGTGCACAGGTGCAATCTTCGACGGTAGCCCGCGTGGGTATGCACGTCCTACCGGCTCGCCTTGAAGCAACTGGACCGTGCGAACTTTTTTCCGTCCGAAAAACAATCTTGCGATCAACGGTCCCTCTCGCCGGCCCGTAAGGGAGATCGACGCGTCCATTAACCCACATTTTCAAATACGCGAATCGAAAGTATCGCGTGTCAGTGGCCAGAAACGTAGCCAGCAGGCTCCTGGTTTCTGATCCGAGAGAAAAGGTGGACGATTGCGTCATCGATAATTCTGTAAAGTCACGTTAATTCCGTGCACGTGAACGTTCTAGGCATCCTGATGGGTTTTACGCGTGCACTTGTATTGTTCCAGCGTACGGTGGCGGAGAAAGAACGCGTGCCGAATACGAGACACCAATTTCTGA